TGCTCTAGGCGGGTCTCGTCAATTACCCAACCTGCCCTTGGCTCTCTCTCTGACTCTACTTAGGCATGCTAAACATACCTGAAGAAAGACTAGGATGGCTATATGCTAGCATTGCCTGGAGAGCTTTTAAAATAGTACCGACTTTGGACCGGAGAGTGGGTAGGGCATTTGCCTTGCAGCACCCACTCGGATTCGATCCCTGACATCTCATTTGGTCCCCTGAGTATTACACCAGGAGTAATTCCTGAGTGCAGAGCTAGGAATAAGCCCTGAGCATTGCCAGGTGTGATCCAAGTCCATCCCTGTTGCCCTCCCACCCCCAAAATAACAACTTTTAATGTTGCAAGTAGAAACAGAAATAGCTACCTTGGACAGTATTTTGACAGTTCCTAAAAAAAAAGTATGACCCAAAAATGCTACACTTAGGTGTGTACTAAAACAAACAAACAAAAGACCAGAAAACACATCCAGAAAACAAAAAATGTGTCCCTGAGTGTACACTGTAGCTTTATTCACACCAACCAAACAGTGGGAAATGCCTAAATGCCCATCAGGAGATGAAATGTGGCATATCTATACAACAGAATACTCAGCCATAAAAGAAAGAATTGCTGAGACATGCTACAAGGTGGATGAAACTTAAAAAAATATGACGGGACTGGACAGAGAGTAAAGGGGTTTAGGCACTTGTCTTGTACTACCTGAGGTGCCAATTTATTTATTTATTTATTTTTTTGGTGACGAGGGCACACCAGCGGTGCTCAGGACTTACTCCTGACTCAGTGATCACTCCTGGTGGGCTCCAGGGACCATATGGGTGCCAGAGATCAAACTCGGGTCGGCTGCATATGCTTTACCCACTGTACTATCTCTCCGGTCCCACCAGCTCAATTCGTGGTAGTATATATGGCATTCCCTTGAACACCAACAGTGTTGGTGTGATCCCTGAGCAAAGAGGCTGATCACAGCTGAATGTGGCCCCAAAATAAGCAAAAGATGCTAGGAGGGCTGGGGAGAGAGCTCAAATGGCTGAAGAAAATGCTTGGCCTGTGGGGGCACCAAGTTCAACTTCTATAGCACTGGGTGGCCTGGGTGGCCCCTGAGCACTGCCCAGTGTGACCCTAATGGTCCCACAGTGACAATCCCAGGCCCAAGCACAGAACCATCAGCCTAGATATCCAGGTACAGCCAGCTTAGTGCAGGAGAAACCCTGAGCACTACACCAAACATCACCAAGAAAAAATGGTAAGGAGTGGGATGTAGTTCAATGCTAAAGCTTATTTACTTATTTAGTTTGGCAGGGGTGGAGGTGGAAGGGGGTTGGGCCACACCTGAGGCTGTTCAGCGGCTATTTCTGGTTTAGTGCTCAGGAGTGACTCCTGGCAGTACTCAGGGGACCACATGTGGAGCTGGGAATTAGAAGCAAGACCATGGCAGCCACATGCAAAGCAAGTGCATTACCTTGTATACCATCTTCCGTCCCTAGTGCACATGCCCTGCACGTGTGAGTTCCCGAGTTCAATTCCTGGACACACACACACACACACACACTTACGCACGAAGAAGCCAGACCAAAGACTGCATGCTGTATGATTCCATTTCGTCTGGCATAATGAGAGGAGGCAAATTCTTGGAAACAGAAATCTGCAACTGCCAGACCCTGGAGCCAAGAGATGTGGGGAGTAACTGCTGGTAGTAAGGAGTTTTCTTTTTGGATGATGAAAATGTTTTGTGATTTGTTTTGATCAATTTGTTTTGCACATTTTATGAATACATTAAGGAAATCTCTGGTTTGCGTATTTCAATTTAAAATTGTTTTGTTTTCCCACTGAGCGCTCCGGGCACTCTGCAGCCACTCCTGGCAGTACTTGGCTCCACTGTACAGGTCAGTTGGTTCAATGCTCATGTCCAGTGACATGATGCTATTCGAACCATCATGCAGGGGGGCCAACAGGGTCACACCCAGCAGTACTCAGGGAACCATGTGGCAGTGGGTACTACAGATTTGTGGCCTCTGCAAGCCAGATATGACTTTAAGCTATCTTCAGACCCTTAAATTGTTTGGATCTTTTTGGGGTGGGGGAGTTTGAGGGGGCACCTGGCAATGCTCAGGAGTTACTACTGACTCTGCACTCAGGAATTACTCCTGGTGATATGGGATATGGGATGCCAGGGATGGAATTCAGTTTGGCTGCATGCAGAGCAAGTGCCCTATCCACTGTATTATCTCTCCTGCCCAGAACTATATATTTTTAAAGGATGGATGTTACAGGATTTGAACTACATTTCAACCTTAAATTACAATACTACTCATATCTGGATTTCTCCCCAGTGAGAAATCTTTATTTAACTGATGTTACGGGGACTCAAATAAGCATTAAAAGATCTTAAGAGGAAATAAAAGATAAGAAAGAAAATGAGACAACACATTTATGACACAGAAAACTATTATGTCCATAACACACAATTAGTAAGAAAAAAGAAAACCCACCAATACAGAGAAGACCTGAAATGGCATCTCCACAAGTGAAAATCCCTAAGACTAATAATATGAAAAATGATTCAATTTCATTCTCAATTAGCAAAGTGCAAATTAAAGCCACAATACAATTAAGGTCATATCCTGACTGGAAAAAAAAATCTATTACTAGAAAGTGTGGGGAGGCTGAGGAGCAGTGGAATGGCTCATACCCCATGTGGAGGAGTTTATATCACTTAGGAAAACAGTTGGCATCACTGAATAAAGACAAAAATATGCCAGGCCTCTGACCAAATTATTTTACAATTAGACACATCTCATTCTAGAGCACTCGTGCTGTGTCCCGAAATACACAGAAAAACATATTGTTTATAAGAAACCTCAGCTAGAAACAAAAGCCCATAAACAGCAGAATGGATAAATTGTGGTCTGCCCATATGACAAACAAAAATGAAAATGACAGCATACGCAAAATATGTAAATGAAACTAAATAAAACTCAAAATGTTGAGCAAAAGTACTCAATCACAAAACAATGCAATTCGATCCTAACAAAGTTAATGAATAGGTGAAAACCAAGTTATATGATACATGAATATATCAGTGGTAAAACTAAAGAACAAGAAATTGATTAGAGAAATTGGTCACAAAACAGGGAGTATGATTGGGAAGTTGTACAGGGAGCTTGTGAGGTGCTGCAGTGTTCTGTCTTTAGCTGGGTCGTTGATTTTGAGGGTGCTTTTTACAAAAACTGCACACACTTAGGTTTTATGCATTTTCCGGTACAATCTATTTTTCCCAATTAAAAAGGTAAAATTATTATTTGTTGGAGGGGTGGTTTGGGGCCATACTTGGTGATATTCAGGGTCTATTCATCACACTGAGCTCAAAGATCACTCCTGGTGGTGCTCAGGGGACCATATGGGTGCCGGGGATTAAACCAGTGTTGTCCACGTGAAAGGCAAGCACCAGGCCTGTACTATCTCTCCAGCCCTTATTTTATTTTTTTAAGTAAGAAAAAGACCTTACGTGTATAAATGTAAAATCAGGATTGAGGGTCACTGCATTAAAGGAAGGTTCATTAGGAATGTAACTGTACCTAAGTTAATAATTACTCCAAAGAAAAAAATCCACCCTAATCTGTTAACTGTGGATAGATATTTCGGCAGGGAGTTTATTCAGTAAGTTAGTAGGGTCTTAATTTAATTTGTTTTTTCTAGGGGATCCACATCCTGCTGTGCTTAGGAGTTACTACTGGTTCTGTACTCAGGGACCACTCCTAGTGATGCTCAGGGGACTTACATAGGGGACTTCAGGGGACCTGCATGGTCCCCCAAGTACCACCTGGAGTAACTCGCAAGTATGGAGCTGAGTAGCCTGAACACTGAAAGCGGTTGTTAAAAAACCAAAGACACTTTCTCCCCCCCCACCAAGTTTTGGGCCATACTCAGTGACTCCTGGCTCTACACTCAGAAATTATTCCTGGCAATACTCAGAGGACCATATCAGGTGCCCGGGATCAAACCCAGGTTGGCCGTGTGCAAGGCAAATTGCCCTACCCGCTGCACTATTACTCTGGCCTGCAAACCACATATCATATTTAATATCTTTACAGGCAAAAGATGTGGTTTCCTTGCATCTGTGTGTAATTAAATTCATAGAAACAAAGCGAACTGGAAGCTACCAGAGACCGTACGGAGAAGGAAATAAGTTATTATTGTTTAGTGGATAGAGCATTTCAGATTTGCAAGATGAAAAAGTTCTGTTCCACAACAATGCAAATACACTTAAAACTATTGGGCTGTACATTTGAAAATAGTTGATGGCAAATTGCATGTTTTTAAACCAAATTAGAAGCGCTGGAGAGAGTTCAGTTGGAATGGCTCTTGTCTTGCATTCACTGGCCTGTCTGATCCCCAGCATTGTAAATGATCCCCCAGTACTACCAGGAGTAAGCTCTGAGCACCTCCAGGTGTGCCCCCTCCCTCAAAAAAAAATTAGAAATAAAACAAAAGAGAAAAATGATCTCTCCCTAGCAGCACCTCCCAGAACCCATTAGCACAGAGATATATGTTAGCGGCCTTTGAAAGTGATCCCTGAGTATTACTTCAGGCTGGGTCCACCCTAGTGCCCTGCCTACCGCTATTTCGGCACTGGGATAACAGCCCTGTAGAAAGTCAGGTCGACCTCACGAAGGACTTGCAACTTACCAGGTGGAGTGGGATGCTCACCTCTGCAGAGCCTAAAGCTGCAGGACAGCAAAACAAATTTTTTTCTTTTTTTCTGCTACTTAGTGGGACGATACAGACGTTACCCCGGCCAGAGAGACAGTACAGGGGTTAAGGTGCTAGCATTGCACCCAACTCTCCCTGGCTTGATCCCCGGTACTCTCTATGGTTCGCAGAGCACCAACAGGCGTTATCCCCGAGCACAGAGTCAGGAGTGAGTCCTGAGCACTGCTGGGTGACCTCCCCTAAAACTAAACCGAAATAAAAGACACACAGAAGAAGGCAGTCCATCACCTCTAAGAGGAGCTCCACGCTGTCCACCTGCAGTTCTCGCAGCCCCACGATCTGCACCACATGCTTGCTGTCTTCTCTGGCGAACAGCCTGTCAATGCAAGAGTGAGGCTATCGTGGCTGAGGTGGACTTGGCTTCTGCCTGCCCCAGAAACCGTACTACCACAACCTCCTTACACAGTCATCTCTGCCTGGGATTGAGGTATATTCTCCCCACCAACTCCCCCACTTACAGGTACCAGTCCTGAGTCTCAGGTATGGTTCTTGATTACCACCATCATTTGGTGATGCATCCGCACTTTTGGTGATATTTCAGGAGGGGATATGGGACATCTGCTGCTCCAGTCAAAATAAAATTCTTTTCTCAGGTGGACTGGTGCCTGGGAATGAGGGGCGCTCTCTTTTGGGAAATGAAAACATGTCGGAAGAGTATGAACTATTTTGTATTCACAAGAGAGACAGTTTGGGAATGAAGCTGACACCATAGACCCGAGAGATGCCAAGAAACTGGCTCCTGGGCCAAAGAACGCATCAAGGAAGGACTGAGCATGTTTTGCATGTGGGAAGCCCAGGTTCAACCCTTCAGCCCCCGGCTCCACACAGCCCTCGAAGTACCCTAGGGGAGCAATCCTCAAATAGGCTGTGACACCCCGCTCCCCCCTACACACGCACACACACCTAAAAAAAAAAGGAAGAAGAAAAGAAAAGAAACTGGGCCTTCGAGAGTCTGTAGTAAACAGACTCTTGGGCCTGGCAGTTCTCTAGGATTTCTAGTTATATGAGTCAATGACTTTCCTAAATGCTTCTGCCAGCAATTAAACTGGGGTTTGTTTTATTTGCAATGTAAACAGTCCTGTCATATTTTCTAAGGGAGTAAGAGCTACTGCTACAACCGAAAGCCTTAGGCCAGAGTCCTTCAACCTATTTATCCTTGCAGACTGGCACCTGTCCTGCAAACCGATCCATGAACCAGCATAGAATCAAGGTGGCAGACAGGTGGATTTTGGCTTTTTAACACAGTAGACTGGCACTAATCCACGGACCAGCGGTTGAAGAACACTTAGGCCTATATGTAAGGTAATGAATGATTATAGTCTACCAGCAACATTAAACCAAATCAATTAAACCAAATCAATTAAGGGCCATGTAGTGAATATCATTCTTTTTTTCCCCCCTTCCATCTATACTATATCCAAGTTTCCAAATTTTTACAGAAGGATTGGAGGGAAACAGCCTCACAGATGCCCCAGACCTTCCAGAAGACAACTGTATGGAAACAGTTAAGCTTCTGGTATAAGAACCCTCATGTCACACTCTGAAAGGAAGTCCTAAACATACATCCCAGACCCATCACCTGAGCTTGCCCCAAAAATTTTCCTAAGCAATAGCCTTATGTATACCACTAGATTTTTAAATCCTCTAAGAAGAGTATTTCTATCACTTTCTATGCAAGGGTATAAAAAAATTATTTTCTGCTTTAGAAACTAATTTGAAGTGCTGGAGTGGTAGTACAGCAGGTAGCCTTATCCACAGCTGACCTGGGTTCAATCCATGGCACCCCATATGGTCCAGGAATGATTCCTGAGCACAGAGCCAAGAGTAAATTCTGAGCACTGCCAGCACAGACCCAAAACTAAATTAGCGGCGAGGTTGGGGGGAGCCTAATTTGGGCTAGGGAGATAGCCTGAAACACATGCTCTGTGTAGTGTAGATGGAGGGGGAAAAAAATTTAACGATATTCACTACATGCTCCTTAATTGGTTTGGTTTAATTGATTTGTTTTAATTTTGCTGGTAGACTATAATCATTCATTACCTTACATGTAGGCCCAAGTTTGATTGCCAGCACCTAATGGTCTGCTGAGTATTACTGGGAGTGAGCCTCGAGCACTGACCTGGGCGTAGCCCCTGAACATTGCCAGAAGTAGTCCAAAAGAATAAAAGGGAAATAAATTTGAAGGGCCCCATGGGACATGTCAGCAGCTTAAAGAGCTTTCAAGTGGGAGGTCTTGAGTACGACTCCAACAGTGCTGAGGACCGCTGGGCTACCCTGGTGCTCAGGGGTCTGCAGGGTCATACCTGAGGACGCTTGGGGGAGTTCACGGCTACTGAATATCCAACAGCTAAATATCTGACTGTCCTTTCATAAAAACAACTAATTATCTCTCCCAGGCCCCTCCCTGCCCCACACTCAATAATGGTTTTTATTCTTATGGCAACTATAATAAAAAGGAAATGGCCATTCTGACTGCGAAGGATTCCTAGTAAGGGCACTGGGCAGAAAGGAAAACTGTAACTCAGCTAACTTGAGGCTTCAAAACCAACCAGGAGGAAAGAAAAAAAAAAACCAGAAAGTATAAAAAGAGGCCACTCTTACTCAAATCACTGCAACTAGCATTTTCCCTTTTTTTTGGCCTTTGCATCAGGACTGAATGCTGAACACCTGCACAGTCTCTCAACTGTGGCAAACCCAAAGATCCCAATGGGCTCACCAGTGATGCCACTCAAAGTAGTGCCCATGAGGATGGTGGTGGCCTTACTGACCTACTGACCTGAAGCCTCTCCCCTCTCCTGCCCTGTGATCTCTCCCTCCTCTACTCCAGTGCCTGCTTACAGGTGGACCTTGTATATGCTTTTGGAGAACTCCTTCGGGGCGTGCCTTTTACCTATTTGGTTTCCCCGTCATGCCCTCCTCCTTTCTACCTGAAGTGGCTGCTTCTAAAATGTCTTCACATCAGGTCAATTGAGAACTAATAAATTATCATGAGGTTAATTTATGTTAATTTAATAAAGGATAATCATTTATCCTTCCATCTCTCCTCCTCCTCCCCTCCCTAAAGCAGGCCCTCCTACTAGTTAATTAGTTTCAGGGGCCAGAGTGATAGTATAGCAGGTAGGGTATTTGCCTTGCAAGTGGCCCTCCAAGGTTCAATTCCCGGCATCCCATATGATCCCCTGAGCACCGCCAGGAGGAATTTCTGAGTGCAGAGTCAGAAGTAATTCCTGAGCATTGCCGGATGTGACCCAATCCCATCCCCCCAAAAAATACAATAGGGATTTAAAAATGTGTATTTAATACATATCTACATTACCTTATTGTGGTGTAAAGATAATAGTTTAAACCTTTTAAAAGTTAAAAATCTAATATGAAGAAAAATTTTCCCTTTTTTGAGGGGGGTCAAACCCAGCGACACACAGGGGTTAACTCCTGGCTCTGCACTCAGGAATTACCCCTGGTGGTGTTCGGGGGACTATGTGGGATATTGGGAATCGAACCTGGTTTGGCCGCGTATAAGGCAAATGCCCTATCCACTGTGCTATTGCTCCAGCCCGAAAAATTTTCTCTTTACATATTTCCGAAAGTCATCATTAAGTTTAAGATTGAGAGAAAAAAAATAAGAATGTAGAAAATACAACTTACAGTTCTTCCAGTATAATAACAGTTCAAAAGAAATAGGAATTAGATCTAAGTACTTGTTGATTTTCTGACTCCCTGAAAATGATCACTTTTCACAGATTAAAATAAAAGGGACAGTTTTTTGATAAACACGAGGATACTGACCACTTACAAAATACTAATGAAAGACTATTTACATTTTTCTCTAGCTGAAATGACAATTTTTTAAAAAATGTACCTGAGGGGGACTCCATTTCATAAAAAAAGGTGTCAACACAACCAAAGCCTCTTGTCAAATCCCATAATTCGGTGAGAGTCTGGCTTAACTCGAAAGCGAACAGGTTTGCTGTTCCCCACTCATATCCAGTACCTTTTCCTTCTATTTAGGAGGTCATAAAGCTGCCCACAGTAGATCTCATAGAAGCTGATCCATACAAAGAGGCGCCTTCGTGGCTGGGACACTTCTAGCTGCCTGAAGATATCTTTGGCGGCCAGAGCATACAGTCCTGGGTTCTGGTGAGTTCCTATCATGGTATAGGTCTTTCCGGCACCTGTCTGTCCATACGCAAAGCAAGTGGCGTTGCCTCTGAGGAAAGAATCACTCAATCAGTTACAAAAACCGAGGATGCTAATCTACACAAAGATTTGTAATGTAATTTTAATTGGGTGGTGGCTGGGGGTGGTGGCGTGGCAGCAGTCATGGAGACATTTGACCCAGCAGGGTAACTCAGCATTGGCGCTTGGTAATGAGATGCACTCGGGCCCAGCAGTTCTGGGAGTCACGGGGCCATGCCTAGTAGGATTCAGGAGAAATCAGGGCTGTAGATGGTGGTGATTGGGGGACCATACATAGGTGGCTGGGAATCGAACTTGGGGTGTCTGTCTGCCAGGCATATACTCCAGACCTTTGAGCTACTTCCCTGCCTCTTTAGATAAGGTGTGTTGTTTTGGGGCCACACCTGTTGGTGCTCAGGGCTTACTCCAGATCTTCTCAGCAACTTTTATCAATATTTAGGAAGCACAGAAAGAAATCAAATCAATTAAGCAAAATATCTAAGGAAGGATTCATGAAAGGTCTTCTCTTGTGATTTGTTTGTTTTTTTGTCAAGAAATAATGAGTGATTTAATTTCTAAGATCCCTTGTAGCCTGATGTTCTATGATTTTAGGTGAGTATCACATAAAATTGCAGATGAGAACAGTTTGATTTAGTAGGAGTTGGGCACCAAGAATATTGAGTACTGTGTGACTCAACAATGTAATGTTAAATAGAGTAAAGGTAATGTTAGGCAGATAAGTAACCACTGCAGACTTCAAGAGGAATCATACAGGTTAGTAATAAAAAGTAGCCACTTGCAGAAAGAAAAAAAAAGTACAGATACATAAGTAGAGGAAGGCAGAAGACAGGTGAAGACACAGAAAGAGGTCTGAAACTAGATCCAAAGAAGCAATACGGCAAGAGTAAAGAAACCAAGGAAGTTTGAAATCAGGAGATAAGATCTAATGGGATTTTAGCTATTTGGGGCAGAGACTAGGTTACTTTTCTACCTACTACTTGTCTTTAAAATCCTGAATCCCAGAATCATGGTCAATTGAGTACAAAGAGCGCAACTAGGAAAAGAATTACAGGGATCTGGAGTGATAGTACAGCAGGTAGAGCACTAGCTTTGCACGTGGCAGACCAGAGTTCGATTCCTGCCACCCCATTTAGTTCCAGGAGTTCCACAGGAGTGATCCCTGAGCACAGAATCAGGAGAAAGTACTGCTGGGTATGGCCCAATTTATGATATATATCTGTGCATCTAAATATTTTTTCTTTTATTTCTTTTATATTTTTATTAGTGATACACCATGAGGTACGGTTGTAGACTTACAAACTTTTGTGCTTGCATTTCAGTTATACAGTGGTCGGGTAACCATCCCTCCACCAGTGCCCATTCTCCACCACCAATGATCCCAATAACCCTCCCACCACCCTATCTGTGCATCTAAACACATAAATCATGTCTCAATTTTTTAAAAAGTTGGGCTGGAGTGATAGTACAGCAGGTATGGCACTTGCTTTGCAAGAAGCTGACCTGGGTTTGATCCCCAGCATCCCATATGGTCCTCTGAGCACTGATCACAGGAATGACACCTGAGTGCAGAGTCAAGAGTAAGCCCTGAGCATTGCCAGGTGTGCCCCTCCCACCCCACCAAAAGTTATTAGGTCATTTTAAAAACATAAAAGTCAAAAAGCAGGACAGAGATGTAAATTTAATAGCTAGGAGGTCTGGTTACTCCTGGGCACTGCATGCCCTTCAAGCATCCCGGGAGCGAACCCTGGCACTGATCCAGGAGTAGTCCCCAAGCAGCAGCAGGTGTGGCCCCAATTAAACCAAAACCAACTCTGAAATCAGTGACTCTAGTAGGCTATTTAGCATTTTCTAATCATAATGCTTATTTCTTCCTTCTTCACAGGAAGAAGTCCTTGTGAAGTTGTTTAAATCAAAGATGCATCCATGAAATAATCACTTATCTATTCCATTTCAATTAAAAAAATTAACTGAAATATAATGCCAGAGTATGTAATTCCTATCATCACAAGTTCAACTAACTATAACCACATAAACTTCCTTATTCTGAGGACTTTTTTGAAGCACTTAATTTACCCACAAAGCAAAGAAAATTATAGTAGAAAAGGAAATTCTGCTGAACATCTTTGGTTTCTTTTTTTTTCTTTTTGGGTCACACCCAGCGATGCTCAGGGGTTGCTCCTGGCTCTGCACTCAGGAATTACTCCTGGCGATGCTCGGGGGGACCATATGGGATGCTGGGAATCGAACCTGGGTCAAACCCAGTTAGGACAGGTTCAAGGCAAACGCCCTACTGGCTGTGATATTGCTCCAGTCCCCTCTGCTGAACATCTTTGAATATTTGGTAAATCCTACATAAACAAACAATAAACTTTCCAATATTCTAACCTCATTAGGTGAAACAAAATTTATATTTAGTTTAAAATAACCGAAAACCATTAAGTGATGTTTATAAAGGATATTATGGTGTACAGAAAACAAAAAGCAAGAGAAGCAAATGGTTACTATCATACCCATTGAAAATATGCTGAATGAGTGGGTGAGTAGTCTTCATATATACATCTCGATTGGTGCAAGATTCACCAAAGACTTCATCAAAATAAAAAACATGCTGAAAAAGAAATTTGATATTTATACAGAGATACCTTTTATGGATTTTTAAGCCCCTATTCTAATTAATGATAAGGAACAAATACTATACTTTGATAATAACTGTGATAAATTTGTAAATAAGTAGTCAATAACTCTCAATTGACAATTATTTTGACTTCTTTTACTTAAGATATCTATAGACATGTTCTTAGAATGCAGAAACTCCTGGCTCTGCACTCAGAAATCACTCCTAGCAGGCCTGGATGACCATACGGGATGCCAAGCATTGAACCCAAGTTGGCTGTGTGCAAGCAAGCACCTTATCCACTGTATTATCTCTTTGCCCCCCCATAGCTTATTTTTATAATTCCAAATACATTTATTGCTCAGCTGGTTGCAAGTATATTGCAATAGGCAGTTCAAGAACTCCCAAGATAAAATCATCACCATTACCAACAAACAAAAAACCTGAGATAAAGAACACATGCGATTCAAAGGAAAAACATTCCTTTTGGGGCTAGAGAGATGGTACAGTCTGTTGGGTGTTTGCCTTACACATTGGATCCCCAGAATCCCAGAGTTAGAAGTAACCCCTGAGCATTGCTGGGTGTGGCCCAAGAAACAAAAAAAAAAAAAAAGAAAAGTGAAATAGAAGATTAGGACAATAATTAGTTCTATGTTGTACAAGGTTTGGAATATCAGCCTTAAAGGATAGGATGAGATTCTAATTTACTTTAGGAAACAGTGTGAAGACAGTTTAAAGGATTTTTTTTTTTTTTGCAAAGAAATAAAAATGGTTCTGAGTCTTTTCTTTCTGTTCTTGTCGTGGGGGGGACACAACTGGCAGTATTCTTGGGGACACAGTGCTAAGGATGGAACCCAGGGCCTCACAAATGGAAGGCATGTGCTCTACCCCTTGGGCCATTTCCCTGCCTGCTCCGAGACTTTTAACTGGAATATTAATCTGGTTTTACACAGATTGGCACAGAGATACTAGATTCAGTGGTGAGGGGGGAAAAGGTCTAAATTAGATAACAATGGAAATAAAGAGACAGACGCATGAGAAATTTGGCAACTGGCTAGATATGGGGAGCTACGGAGAGAGAAGAGTCTAAGATTACTCCCAAATGGAAAAGTCTGGTAATCAGGAAAAGAGAAATAGGAGACCCCATTAAATTGGGTCTGGAAAGCATTAGTTCAGCAGCCATAATTATTTATGTAATCTAGAGGCTTATCATTTTTGGCAGCACAACTGTTTCTGTAAGAAATTCTAATAATTTCCAGCCTGACTGTAGCATGATAAAGGCAGTCCAAACACAATGAATAAGGGCGATCTTCTGCTACCTCTTGGGCCTGGTTTAAACAGCCACTTAGGAACCAGAGATAGCACAGGGGTTCAGGCAACTGCCTTGAATGTGGCTGACCTGGTTTCACCCCCTGAGCACTGTCAGGAGTGGCCTCTGAGAAAAACGGGGTGTAACTCACTAATAAATATATATTCACTTAAAGACAAACTGTATGGATTGTCCATAGGGGTAAATAAAAATCCACTTAAACTGTATGGACAAGTCCAGAAAAGCAAACTTGTGACATTTACTATAGGTCACTCTACCCCCATTTGTGTTTTGGGTACCATAAGAATGTGAATTTATTAGGTCAATCTGAGAATAAATTGGTCACAATATTAAAGAGCCCCTAACTTTTACCTTTTTGTTTTGGGGTCACATCCAGCATGCCCAGGGGTCACTCCTTGATGGGTCTGGGAACTGTATGTGATGCTGGGAATCAAATCCAGGTTAGCCAAGATAAGGGCAAAAACTTTACCTGCTGTACTATCCGCTGCAGCCACTAAGTTTTCACTTTTTATATAAAAGTAACACAACTACTCGCAACATAAAATTATAAACATGGAAGCGAAATAGAAAATAAAATTACAAATCTTACCACTGAAATAGTCATCATTGTTGACTTTTTGATATATTTCAGTACCAACTTTCTTTTCTCTGTATATTTTAAAGGAAGTGGATGCTTCCCTTTGGTCAGAACTGTCATCTTCAAGTAAGCTGTCAAAATGACCAATACAAGAGCAAAGACAGCATCCCCCATCCCCTATCCCCACCCCGCTACATGTTCTCTAGACCTTTTAGGAAACGTATTGTTCCTTTTAGCCACATACATGTGGATTGACAAGAAAGGCAATATTGTAGACATAGAAAATGGGCAGTGGTCACAAAGGACTGTCCCACAAATGTTCCTGTGGCAGAACCGGAAGTGTTCTACAGTGCTGGCCAGCACCTACTGTCAAGCATTGTCAACAAACGGGCAAGACTCATTTTTTTTTTTTGCTTTTTGGGTCACACCCAGTGATGCACAGAGGTTACTCCTGGCTCTGCACTCAGGAATCACACCTGGCGATGCTCGGGGAACCATATGGGATGCTGGGAATCGAACCCAGGTTGGCTGCGTGCAAGGCAAACACACTTCACTGTGATATTGCTCCAGCCCCAAATGGGCAAGACTCTTACTAAGCAAATTCATGTTTGTATTGAGCATCTGAGAAAAGTCTAAGAATCGAAAGAGCTTCCCAAATCATGTGAAAGAAAATGATCAGGAAAAAGAGGAAGTCTAAGAGAAAGGTACCTGGGTTCTGTTAAGTACCAGCCTGCTACACCACAGAAGTTCACTGTGCAGACCCATGGACAGGAGCTTCAGTGGCTGGAACCCATGCCCTGTGAATTCACTGCATGAGAGGTGTTTTTTAAAAAAGAAAGACCTCTGGACTACCAAGAAGAGAGAAGAAAAAAACTGGAATGAAACATATATAGTTTTATTTTACTTTTCACTTATGTTGATAAAAAAATTTAGTGGTAAGTATAAAATCATATAGTAATATGATTGTGTCACTGTCCTCCCGTTGTTCATCGATTTGCTCGAGCGGGCCCAGTAACGTCTCCATTGTGAGACTTGTTGTTACCGTGTTTGGCATATTGAATATGTTGTGGGTAGCTTGCCAGGCTTTGCTGCGTGGGCGAGATACTCTCGGTAGCTTGCTGGACTCTCCGGGAGGGGCGGAGGAATCAAACCCGGCTCAGCTGGGCTGGCTGCACACAAGGCAAAAGTCCTACCGCTGTGCTATCGCTCCAGCTTGATGATTGTGTAGTATAACAAAAAAACTTGAAGAGATAGGATAACTAGGATAATTAATAAAATGAACACAAAGATTATTGTTTCAATTCCTAAATAAGTTTTAAAATAAACTCAAAAAACGTAGGTTCACTAGTTGCTGTATTTTGCTAGGAACCACCCTTTTCTTCTTTGTATCCCAATACTTTTATATTATAGCATTGACAGGTAAAGACTTTCACCTATGAGAGCAAAGGTCCAAAGTTCAAATAGCAGAGAAAGTACTAGAAAAACTATGGGTGTTCAATAAGTATTGACCAATGGTAATGACAAAGAAACAAGGTTATTGTGTTTTGGGAGAATGGAAAAATACAAAGATAAGATGATGCCTCTTTGAGGGAATTATTGTGACAGAATCATCATTAAGGAAGTCTTTGGTAGATGGTGATTGGATCGGGCTATTACTGTGGCTCTAAGTAGCCACGGAACTAGATAGCATTACAACTAATTGGTCATTTAGGCCATCTTCAGAATAAATACCTCCCACCTAACCCTAATAGATTGTGCATTGATCAGCAGTCGATAAGGCTGTTAAAGTTACTGGGCTGGTAGTACAGTGGCCTAGTAATTTAGAGTCTATAGAAAGACTGAGTGGATTACTTAGAATGTCACTGTGAGACCTAATTTTAGTACCAATGAAAAAGAAGAACAATTTAGGTATAAAAGAGGGGAAATGTTAACAATTTGACTTCCACACTTAACAATTTATTCCAACAGAGTAAACTCTAAGCTCACTAAAATTATTAGCACTCCAAATTATTCACTGTTTTTCTCTCTCTCAGACAGTGTTGAGATGAGATAGGAGGTGGGGGGGGGGTGATTGGTGGCAGGAGGGAGGGAGAGGGAGAAAGATAGAATGGACTTAAGAATTTATGGAGATAGAGGCCAGAGTGATAAGTTCAGCAGGTAGGTCATTTGCCTTGCACAGTCAACCCAGGTTTGATCCCCTGCATCCCATATGTCCCCTGAGCCCTGCCTAGAATGATCCCTGAGCACAGAATCAGGAGTCAGCCCTTGAGTACTGCTGGGTATGGCCCAAAACAAACAAAAATAACAAAAAAAGAAATTTATGGACATAAATTTGTGAATTCCCAAAGTTCTGAATTCCTAAATCTTTGGTTTGTTTTTAGTGAAGCAAGATGGTTTTTAATTAAATGAAACTTATTTAGAAAGATATGAGGGGAGAGAAGGAGAAGCGCATGTTCAAGAGAACATGGGCCTCTCCACGAATGGCAAAAGCGAGCAGAGACACGAGACAAGCAAGCGAGACACACGTTCGAGGAAGACGCAGGTTTAAAGAACAAGCCTGAATCCCCAAATCTGAGCATCTGGTGGATGTTAGACCATCTGTTTTAGATTATCTGCAGTTGCTTCACATTTTAGGAGCACCTAAATTATGTTATCTCTCATCTAGGGTTTTGCTAATTCCTGCAGAGTTATTGCAAGGGCATCTACCTATCAGCTTGAAAAAAGTTTTTCCATAACAAATCCTTTCTCCTTGGACTCTTCTTGATCATTTGGGCAGGGAATGAAAACATTTTTTAATGTGTCTGAGCTGTTAAGTGTTATACTTAAACTTTTATATGTAGGATATGAAATCATATCCCTGGATTATAGTTATCCACAGCAATAGCTACCTTTTATGAAGTGGCCTGCTCAAGAGGCCAGTTCCACCAAATTAAGTCTAAGCCTAAACCGAGCTGAGAATCAAAGAAGAAGCTGTGTGGCAACCTTGGACTTTGTTGCTCAAAAATTATGTATCCTCTCGCAAAACTCCAGACTCACTTGAGCAGAAAAACTCAAACTATGGACGGTCATGAACTGAGTCAATGGAACCATCTGATAATCACTCTGGGACACAAGTTGTGACTGATCCAATCCTTAGAGATTAGTCTAGCTAAACTCATGACTAAAATTATTTTTCTCCCCTCATTTCCACTATCCCCTTTTGCTGAATATGTATAATTGAATACATGTAAAGTGTGATGCAATTTTACTGTAAAATAGCAGAAGAATTCAGTTTCTGTATCCCCCTTTGTACTATATGTTTCTCAAATGAAGGCTCAGGGTATAACTGATCTAACACAGTGAGTTTTACATCGGGAATGAATACCACTGCCAAAATAAGAAGATGAGCTTTAGAGTTAGTACGCGTCTACTCAAGCAAACAAAAAACCTGATACACACAGCAATATATGTTGCAAAGATAAAAAGAGCATCATACCTGCAGAATATATTGTGTGAGGTCAACTGCTTCCTTCTTTTCATGAACAAGTAGAGTTTCTTTGTCTTCTACAGTGATGATATTAATTTCTCCACGACGTACCTCTCTTATGCCTAGAGGTCGTTTCCGAACACACACTCTGATTTTCTCCAACTCAGTCCAAGGATTCTCCTTCTCTGAGGTGTCAGGTCTGATACACGATTATAAGTGAGTGGGCTTTAATTCTTAATAGGATAAGACCACTAAAATATCAAATTATCAGTCCATCTTATTATATATTAGGTATAATACAGATAAGACTATATATTAAAGTGTTGACAATAGGGGTCAGAGGGATAGTACAGTGGGTAGGGTGTTTCCCTTGCACACGGCTGACCTGGGTTCGATCCCCAGCATCCCCCATGGTCTCCTGAGCACCACCATGAGTAATTTCTGAGTGCAGAGCCAGGAATAACCCTTGAGCACCTCCAGGTGTGGCCACCTCCCCCAAAAAATGTGTTGACAATAAAGTTATTTTATTAGTGAAATTCTGATTACATCTATCTTCATCCCTACACACCACCCCCTATTTTGTCCTGCAAAACAAACAAGAAAATAAAACTATTCTGAGTGTTGCTATAGCTACAGAACTTGAGTATTTCATTTTAGGTGTGGTCTATCCAAAGGCTAATAATAATGATGGGGGCCAAAGAGATACAGCGGGTGCTTGTGTTGCACATGGCTGGCCAGGGTTCAATCCCCGGCATCCCATATGGTCCCTCAAACCCACCAGGAATGATTCCTGAGTAATTCCTGGCAGAGCCAGGAGTAACCCTTGGGCTGGATATGGCCCAAAGACCAAAAAAGAAAAAAATAATAACGATGCCCCTTGCTTTTATTTTCTTTTGCAGCCACAGAGGGTGGTACTTAGGGAGTTAACTCTGCAATGTCCACGCCTGGACTTCCCACATGCATAGCAAATGCTTTAGTTCTTTGTGCTATATCCCTGGCCCAAATGCTCTTTCTTTATTCTTTCTTACATTTCTTTTGCATTTCTGTCCCCAATACACAAAATCTGTCTCTAATCCACAAAATCAAATGCACTTCCAAGGCCTTCATAAGACCCAAATCCATGTCTCTGACTTCCTTTCAATTATCTGGCACATTTTACTGTCCTCCTGGTCATTCAATCTAATTTTATCTTCCCTCCTCCCCACAGCTTGTGTTTTGTAAATATCTTGAATTAACAGGTTTCAATGCCCTATGCCTCCCTGGCATGAATAGTCACATGATGGTGTGTGCAGTCATCTTTTAAATAACAATCAATGTCTTTGACCCACGTACCAAAAATGTTTTAATATATATATAGGGGTTATATATAAGATAATATAGGGGTTCAATACAGTACCCCATATGCTCCTCCGAGCCCCGCCATGAGTGATTTCTAAGTGCAGAGCCCAGGAGTAAGGCCTGAATACCACTATATGTGGTCTCTCCTCCCCCACAAAAAAAGTCTTAGCAAGACAAATTATTCATGTCTTTTACACTTTAGAATTTGATTGATAATTCCTAACAAAACTTTCACAAAAGATTTTACACAAGATGTTTCACCATATAGCTGCTTAATTTCAATTTTCTGAGCCCAATAGGCTGGAAAAATATTTCTTACCAGAATCTATCTAAATTAGTAAAAAGCAGCAAGTTGAAGTTGTAATATAATACATAAAGCACTGACTACTCAGGGAATTCAAAGCATACTTTTGTTCTTCTAGCATACTTTTTGAGCTAAGCGTGGCAATATCTTAACAATCATTAAATCTGGAAGATTAAGAGCTGGAGAGATAGCTCAATGGGCTGGAGCATGTGCCCCGCATGCAGGAGGCTGATTCCTGACACTGCACTGTCCCCCAAGTACCATCAGAAAAGTCTGCCCTGGGCCAGAGTGATAACACAAGGAGAAGGACACTTGCCTAGCATGTGGCCAACCCGGGTTCAATACCCAGCATCCTACATGGTCCCTCGAGCCCCACCAGGAATAATTTCTAAGTTGCAGAGCCAGGAGAAACCCTGAGCATTGCCAGGTGTGGCCCAAACACCAGAGAGAGAGAGAGAGAGAGAGAGAGAGAGAGAGAGAGAGAGAGAGAGAGAGATCAAATCTAGGCCTCACTGGGGCTGGAGCAACAGCAGGTAGGGTGTTTGCCTTGTATGCGGCTGACCAGGGTTCAATCCCTGGCATCCCATATGGTGCATTGAGCACCGCCAGGATTAATTCCTGAGTGCAGAGCCAGAAATAACTCCTGAGCATTGCCGGGTATGGCCAAAAAGAAAAAACTAAAACAAAAAAACAAAAACAAGGGGCTGGAGCAATAGCACAGCGGGTAGGGCATATGCCTTGCACGTGGCCGACCCGGGTTCGATTCCCAGCATCCCATATGGTCCCCTGAGCACTGCCAGGGGTAATTCCTGAGTGCAGAACCAGGAGTAACTCCTGTGCATCACTGGGTGTGACCCAAAAAGCAAAAAAAAAAAAAAAAAAAAAAAAAAAAAAACCACAAATCCAGGCCACCTGCATACAAAGCACGCACCCAATCATTGAACTATCTCTTTGGCCCTCTATTTTTCTAATATGATCAAGAATGGAAACAGTGAGACAGAGGCTCGAAAGAGCATAATAGGCTGGAGCACATGTTCTGCATGCAGGAAGCCCAGACTCAATCCCTGAGACTGCATGGTCCCTGAACACTGCCAAGAGCAAGCCCAGAGCCACCAGTTAGCAGTAGTCCTTAAGCACCTCTTGGTGCACATTCATCCCCAACAAAAAAGAAAGGGGGACAAGGACAGAAAATATCAGAAGGTGCCAGAAACAGCCTATTCTCTCTGGGTTCTGCATATAAACCACTATAAGCACTTCTCTTACCCATGTACCTGTTTCTCTTTCCATTCCCCTGCCCTGAATCTAAGAGCCTCCAGATATCCTAATTACCTGCATACCTGTAATAGGCTCTGGCAAAGGAGGTACTTAAGATCTGCCACGTAAATGAAAAAGCAGTATTTAAATTAAATATTCATCCTATCCAAAGACACACTGCAAAGTGCATCTTTCTTATATTTATAAATAATTCCAACTTTGTTTTAAGTGTTGTTTAATAAAAGGTTGTAATTTCCAAGAAAATATTTACTGATCCACCACTGAGCTAGTTGGTGGTCAGCAACAATCCTGGCTTTGATAGTCAAGGAACAATCTATTCTCTAAGAGTGAAAGCACACATTATGTCTCAGCAAAACTTGAAATGAGAAATGGAAATTGATATATGCTCAGTCCTCTAAACTGAACAAACTTTTCAGTGACTATAAAATTCAGTTATGTGGGTTGGAGCAACAATACAGCAGGTAGGGTGCTTGACTTGCATGTGTCCTATCTGGGTTTGATCACCAGTATCCTGTATGATTCCCCAAACCCTTCCAGGAATGATCCCTGAGCTCAGAGCCAGGAGCAACTCCTGAGCACCGATGCATGTGATCCCAAAATCAGAAATAAGTTAAGTAGGGGCTGGAGCAATAGCACAGCGGGTAGGGTGTTTGCCTTGCACGCGGCCAGCCAGGGTTCAATTCCCAGCATCCCATATGGTCCCCTGAACACTGCCAGGGGTGATTCCTGAGTGCAGAGCCAGGAGTAACCCCTGTGCATTGCCGGGTGTGACCCAAAAAGCAAAAAATAAATAAAAACAAATAAATATTACTGTCACTGTCCTATCGTTGTTCATCGATTTTTGCTCGAGCCGGCCCAATAACATCTCCATTTTGAGGCTTCTTGTTACTGTCTTTGGCATATCGAATACGTCACGGGTAGCTTGCCAGGCTTTGTCATGCGGGCGAGATACTCTTGGTAGCTTGCCGGGCTCTCCGAGAGGGGCGGAAGAATCGAACCCGGCTCGGCCGGGCTGGCTGCGCGCAAGGCAAACGCCCTACCGCTGTGCTAATAAAATTCAGTTATGTAGGGGCTGGAGCAATAGCATCGCAGGTAGGACATTTGCCTAGCATATGGCCACCCGGGTTCGATTTCCAGCATCCCATAAGATCCCCCGAGCACTGCCAGGAGTAATTCCTGAGTGCAGAGCCAGGAGTAACCCCTGTGCATTGCAGGGTGTGATCCAAAAAGAAAAAAAAATTCAGTTCTGTATTTCAAACTACTTATTTTACCTTCAAAATCACTTGTTTTTTCTTTTTTCTAAACAACTGGGTGGAAATGAGGTCCTCTGAAACCTTAGCCAATATATAATCAGATATAAATATCGTGTTTTAAAGTATGAATAACAGCCTTAGGAAAAAAAACTACAACCGTGGCTTAAGAATATACCTTGTTTCTCTTTAACTCACATCTAAACTCTCAGGACAGCAAAAGGAGCAACACATATTATTTTTAAAAGGTCATATCTCCATCGTGGCATTGTTAATATTAGAGATAATTTGATATTTCACTTTTTAGGGACCTTATTTTAAATCCTAATTTGAAGCACTAGGTGCAACTAACTTGGTGTCACTTTGATTGTCTACTCCACCAAAAGTATCTTTTTTCCCTTGGGAGAAAGGGGATACCCACATCCAGTGGTGTTCAGGGATTACTCTTGGCCCTTGTATTCAGGGATCATTCCCAGAGGGCTTGGGGACCATATGTGGTACTGGGTATCAAACTCAAGTCAGGCACAATTGTCTTATTCTCTGCAATCACTGTTCTTCTAAGGCTAGAACTGTAGAAAGCCATCAAAATTAGGGCCATATATCAAAGTGTACATGTAAAACTACCTTCTCCAATGACCTACTTAATTCAGCTAATGCTCTTTGTTTTAAACTAGGTTTTATGTCTCCTTTTTGTTTAAATAAATTTGATAGTTTTTAAAAACTCTGGATTTTATACATATATATATATTTTTTTTTTTTGCAGAAGACCAGTTTACTATTTTCCCTTCATGGATGGATTAGCTGTATCATTTTACACTAATAAATAATAGAAATAAGTCTGCTGGAAGAACGGCAGAGCATGCCAAGTAGCAGCTGCTTTATGTACATGAACAATTATCATCTTTCTCCCATCTGGAAGGTCCCAATTTCTTATCCCTCCACCACGGTGTTTCCATGAATTAGGAAGAGTTGCTCTTCTCTGTCACAAGGAGGCCTGCCTTTGCCTATGGCTACACAATCTTCAAATAAAATATAATTAAATTATTACCTGATACAAGAATGAGGGATTCCATAGTTATATCCTGTAACATGAGAGACTCTCTGAATAATGGGAATATCACCGTCTCCCGGGATTGGAGAAAAGCCATTTGCTGAAAAGAGGGAAGAAGGCGTTTCTGTTTGTACATAGGAACCAGCAGCTGTGGCATTCAGAAATCTTGTTTTTATATGGTACTGGGAATCATCAGGGAGCATGTGCTCCAACACTTTTAGGTAACTAGACTTCTGTTCATTTGCAGAAAAGTCTGACAAGTTGCATATTTCAAACCCGTTGCTGTCTTTGCTGTCAGCAGGAGACTCAAACTGCAGTTGCCTTCGAGGGCCAGGTCTGGGTTTCTGAGAATTGATTTGTAGACTATTTGTCTGAAGATGGTCTGGGCTACTGGCTGCTCTATCTTCTTCCTGCATAATCTTAATGATTTTGATAAGCTGGAACAGACGTTTGCGATCATTCATATCATGGACTCCCAATCTGGAGTAGTCCTTCATTGTAACCTTGGCTAATTCCTCTATCTTCTGAAGGCCAACGGCAGTAAAATGAGGATAATACTGTGCAAGTTCAGCTTCACAGAGACATTCATACAGCCACGATGCCATGTTTGTGAACAGATCTCTAGAAGCTGAAGAGAAAAAAAGGACACTTGAAATAGTTTATATAGTTCAATCATTCCTTTAAACAATGAAAACTACAAAACAGGTAGAAAATTTCACTAATAGACTAAGTTATTAACAAACATATTTGTATTCCAAAAGACAGAATACATAACACATAATACAGAGAAAAACAGCAGAGTACATAGGCAAAGATACTTCTGACAAATCTGTGGTAATTGTAGATATAACCTGCACACCTTAAAAAAACCAATGCTCTTTGTTTTAAACTAGGTTTTATGTCCCCTTTTTGTTTAAATAAATTTGATAGTTTTTAAAGACTCTGGATTTTATATATATTTATATATTTTAGATTGTATATATAATTTAGTAAATGCAAACACACATAACTGAAGTCACTTACTTACTTCTGGGGAGTTCCTTCCAACTTGCAGTGTCTACTTAACACATGCCATAAACTACTTGAAATCTTTTCCCCACCACTGTAGCAGGACTAATTTTAGATGTCCAAGTTAATGTCGAGGCATGTTGCACAACTGTTTCCCATATTAGTGAACAAAGGCTTAAGAACTTTTTCAGAATGGAAAGCAGAATTAAGCAGCAAACCACCGAGGATTACAACTGGTGTAACAGAGGAAATCACATTGATATCTGCCAAATATTATTAAAAATTGAATAGAATTGCAAAAATGCCATTGTTAATTCAGAATCTACTAATTCAGGATTCCAGATATTCTAAGAGGTACAGTCATTTGTAGAAGTTTAGATATGAATAAGTTACTTAGGAAATAATATTAAGGTTAAGTATTTTTATTTTGGGGTGACACCTGGCAGTACTCAGGGCTTACTTCTGGCTCTGTGCTCAGGAATCCAATCTGGTAGGTTCAGGGGACCATATGCAGAGCCGGAGCTCAAACTCAAGTCAGGGTGCTTGCTTTGCATTTGGACAACCTGGGTTCGATTTCTGGTATCCACATGATGCCCAGAATACCGTCAGGTATGATCCCTGAGCACAGAGCCAGGAGTAAGCCCTGAGAACTGCTGGATGTGACCCCAAAGCCAAATAAATAACAATAAATGACTCCATATTGCTCAAGATCTTCCCATAGCCCTCTGCCTGCTAAATGATTTATGCCACTCTTGCTAGATAGCTCAATAGTTATTTCTCTTCCACCTCACCCTTCTCAACCCTTTTTGTCTTATAGCCTCTTCTCTGATTTTACCATTAAGCATCCTAGGCAATAGTTGTTAAACAGCTGTTAAATCAAGTCACCAATCCCTATACTTCTGATTCCTCTACGTGGAATGCCTGTTTTCTCAGGAAAAAAACCTATTTAGTTACTGAAATGCTTCTACATATGCAGGCAACATGCTGCCTTTCTAAGTCATACAGTTAGCTTACGTTCTTTTGTTTTGTTATTGTATTTGTCCTACATTCTATTTTATAAAGGTCCAGGCCCTCTCCCCTTCTGGGAGAAACATCAGTATCATTCTTGGAGCTTAACAGCATAGCCACCAGAATTCCATGTCTACAAAGAGAAATAATTTCTCACTGTTTGAGGAACAGACACAAGAGCACCTAAAAAGCTCCTCCATTGTACCCCCATTGATCTGTAGCTATCACAACTACAACCACAAATGACAAATGCGCTGATCCAGCAATTCCAAGTATAAAAGTAATCCTGCAGTCTCCCAGAGATATTATATCCAAGAACAATAATGTGTACAAAGGTTTTCATGGTAGCACTGTTGTAATAACAAAAACAGAATAGGGACTCGTTAAATAAATCATGATAAACCATTAAATAGAACACACATCAATTAAAAAGAATAAGCAGGCCTGGATACGGCTCAATGCGAAAGCCTGTGACTCACATAGATGAGGCCTTAGGTTGAACTATCAGGAAAAAAATAACTCAATAGATTACTGAAAGAAAAGAAAGCTGCCCCACATATTGTCAGGTGACTAAAACAAAGTAACAATTTGTACAGTACAGGGATTGTTAAAGAGAAAGAGATAAGCAGATGCAGAGATCTATCATAGATCGATTATCAGGCATAAAATACCTTTGACAGTGAGTACGCACTAAAACATATTGCTCTCATGGGAGAACTGACTGTGGAGGGCAAGCATAGGAAAATTATTTTAATCTTACCAATAAAGGCTAGCGATGCCTTTCTATTGCTTCTATTGCTGTCTATCACCCAGAACAGTTGTTTTTTAATTTTGAACCATGTGATCAGATTACTACTGAAAAGAACCATTTCTATTTCCGTCCATCTCCCTCCTACCCTCCTAACCTCTCCAAACAGACTCAGCACAATTTCTTGGTTCTATTTTGGTGTTTTTCCCTCTAGCTTTTAATTTCCATTTACTTTCATTCTTCTTCTTCCCCTACCATTTTAGAGCCTGAAAAATTCAACATGGGTGAGAGCTACCAGAAACACCTCAAACTATGTGTTTGACTTAAACTGACAAAAGAAACCAAAAATTACTCTTTTTAAAGTAGTCCTATTGTTGCCAAATTTTTCATGACCCCCCCCAATTCCATCACAATTTAGACTCAGTTTAAGAAACGAGGTAACAGTGTACGTGTACAACTTGATGAGTTTTGACAGTTATATGCCTGTGAGGCCACCATGATTAAAATACAGAACATTTCCATAACCGTCAACTAATTTCTAATGCCTCTTTTGCATTCCATCCTTCCCACTGGCCCTTGGTAACAACTGCTTTTGCCTGTATTCGTTTGTATTAAACTGTTTAATATGTTGTTATATAGTATATTCTATTTTGTTTCTGCCATTTTTCATTAGCCTGATTTTGAGGTTTATCTGTGATACACATACTATGCCCTCATTTTATTTAGAAGAAAGAATGAATTAGTAAGTTGCTTCAGGCACACAGTTCTCAAGTGGCGATTCTAAGACGGAAACTTAGGTCTCCTCATGGCAAGTGGCCCCATACCCTTTCCACTATTCCACGTTGCGCACAGTCCCACCAGCCGCCTGATGGGCTAGATCTCTACCCTGCTCAGCAGACTGGATGCTTTCTGCAGATCTGGGCTGCCGCATGGACTCTCTCACAGCTGCCATCCTAGAAAATGCCCTGCAAATCAGCAAAATTCACAGACCAGGGCCAGATGAACAGGTTTTTGCATGCAAGACCCACTCATATTCAGTGCCACAAGTATGCCAAGCTCTCCTTTGTGACAAATTCAGACTGCCAGGTCCCAGCTGTCAGAGTAATGATCAAAAATAGAGTCTTGGAAAAAATCCAGCTGGCAGAAATTCAAGCTTTCTTGTCCTGGTGGCAGAGAAAATAAACTGGAAGTGAAATACATGCACAAGGAAATTTATTCACATTCCAGGATGTGGATAAGCTCCAACTATTTAACATGTTCCCTCAAACTCTCCATTTATCTACCTAAACTATGTAACTCTACCCACCTAAATTGCTTGAAACTGAAGTTGGAATACAATAACTCTTAGTCATTTAGTGGTGTAACCTTAGGCAAAGTCACTTAGTTTCTCCGAGTTTCATTTCCCTCTTTTCAACAAGACCTTTATGTAAAACTAATTTGAAAACTGTAAAGTGCTCTATAAGGATGAGGCTATGTCCTTCTATTCACTTTGATCTCTGTATCTGGCATATAGGTAGGTTTGGCTGCCTGGCTTACTACAAGCAAAAATAAATACCATATGGAAGACTTTTAAATTATTAATGAAAAACTCAATGTATAACACAGAATCAAAAGGTTAAGGGAGTGAAAATACTGAAGTAGATATATTTGCAAAATATGTTCATAGTAATACTGTGTCGTTACTATACTAAGGCATCTACTAGCTGAAGATGCATGTTTATTGACTATTATATAAGTACTTTTCTCTTCATCACTGTATAGAGTTCCCATAAATGCCTGATTATCAATTATAATATTAGATGATAGTACATATCAAAAGATCAACACATAGGCTAGGAAGATAGTACAACAGGTAGGGGGTTTGCGGTTTGCCTTGCATGTGGCCAAGCTAAGTTGGATCCCTAGGGCTCTATTGTTTTCAAGCTCCAGTAGGAGATCCCTGAGCACAGAACCAGGAGTAAGCTCTGAGCTACGCTGCATGTGGCCCAAAAAACAAACAAAAAAGACCAACACTCAATGTAAGTCATATGTATATGGGCTCTTAATTTTCTTTTGGTCAACTTTACCAAGGAGTAATTTATGTGTAATAAACTATACCCATTTTAAGAGTGCAACTAGGGATTGGAACAATATTATAGGATGTAGGGCTCTTGTCTTGCATGCAGCCAACCTAGGCTCGAACCCCCAGCATCCCATATGGTCCCCTGAGCATCTCCAGGAGTAATTATTGAGGCACAGGTAGGAGTAACTCCTGGGCATCGCTGGGTGTGGCCCAAAAACAAACAAAAAATTTAAGAGTATAGTTACATGAATTTTGACTATGTAACCACCACATCAATCAAAATGCAAAATGTGTCCCATCGATCACTGCTAGAAGCTCTCCATGTCTTTGGCAATCAATCCTCTCCTCCATGCTGGGCCCCAAGTAATCACTGACCTGCTTTCTGTCATCATAAGTAGGTTGTACTTTCTAGAATTTCACATAAAATCATATAGTGCCACTGCTATTTTAATCTATATAACACATGGAAATGGAATAGGAGAAACTTACTTTGCGTGATTTCTCTTTCTTCGTCCTTTGGAGACAAGTTAAAATGAGCACACTGATATTTCATACCTTTTTCCCCCACCAAATCAAATGTTTCACCTAATAAAGAAATGTCGCTGCTGCTTTGGGGCCATCCATGCTGGGCTCAGGGGATCACGTGGAATGTCAGGAATCAATTCCAGGTAGACCATGTGCAAGGTAAGCATCTTACCTGCCATACCATCTCTCCAGTCCCCAGCAGGTACAATGTTATTAGAAATCTGAAGAAAATATCAGATTCTACTGTTGCCTAT